TCATTGCATGAGCACCTTCCACAACATGTTGATTTTTCCTTTCAACAATCTCATTTTGTTGAAGTGTCTCAACACATCTCAAATACCTCCTAATCTCATTCTTTTTCAGGAATCCCCAAATTACTTTAGCACAAGCTCTCCACCAATACTTGTCTTAAATTTCTTCATTCTTGTATTGAGCTCATTCTCAACAAGCATTTGGAATTATTTAGAGTACCCAGATACTTCAGATTTTCTTCACATAAAATAAATCTATATGTACCTCGAATAATCAATTACTAAAAGTGACATAGTACATCATGCATTTGAGAGATTCAACTCGATATGGACTTAGCACAACATTGTGGATGATCTCCACTGGATATCATGCTATGGTGGATGAATAAGTGCTTTGTAGCCTTTACAAATACACATCTTCCCAAATGTGATTTCTATTAAATTGTGTTGTAGGTATCCCAGTAACTAACTTCTTCCTTGATATATCTTTTAGCTTGGGAGATTACAATGTCCAATTCTCATGTTGCATAAGTTTATAATATCAATGGAGGAAGTCTTCTTCATCCATGGTTATAACAAATAAATAACTAACTTCTTTTCATAGGTGAAAGTCAAATCACTATACTCATATGTTCTTTTAAATGTTAACGATATTATGGTAAAAAAAAATGAACTTTACTGGGAAGCAAGAAAGTGATCTCTATATAAAAGGCCTAAATAATACATAATATTCATCCTTTCGAGGGTCACCCATTTGACGATTATGGAAAGGGATCTCGAATATGGAGATGGGTCTCCAAAAGAGAGAGAGAGAGAGAGAGATGGCATTCAAGAGAAAAACAGTATTCTCATGAGTTTTAAGTTGGTTAAACTTTTACTTTTAGAGAGAGAAAGTTTCTTGGTTGTTCTCAATGTCACCTTTCCTGTAGCAGTATTGAGGAGGAAAGAAGATATTGATGGACGATATTGCTCGATCGAGATAGCGAGTTTAAAAGGGAGTTACCAATGTTTAGAGATAAGTATATCTCTTGTAACCTATACCTGTAATATTCATTGAGATAATGGATTTCTACTTGTTGAGGTTGTGGATGTAGCCCTGCGAGGTGAACCACATAAATCTTGTGTTATTGTAGTATGATTATGTTTATTGTTTTATTTCTTGCACTCTATTATAGTTGTATTCATCTACTTTGCATTTAGCCAATCATTTACACGATCTCAGGTGGGATCCAGATATTTAATATTTTTGGTTTTGCAAGTGAGGGGTTCCTAAGAACCCTACAATTGACATCAGAGCATAAGGTGTGTGCGGGGCTGAGACCTGCATTGCCATTAACAAGCCCTTTGGAGTTTACTGTGATCACGTTCAGGCTTCGATTATGAGACTTATTGGTTTTTCTCCATAATCATCTAGTATGAGTTTAGATAACCATTTCAGCATAATGGTTTCTATTTCTATTTGAAATGTTGATAGATTTGGAAGCTGCTGTTCTTAGAAAAGTGCGGATACAATTATGAGTTCCTTGTAAAATAATACAAAAGTAGATGAATTTAATTGAATTTCTGATAGGGCATCTTAAATCATTCATACACAAAGTTTTCTTATCAATTGTTATATAAACACCGGCATTTTCATTTTCTCTCACATTCTAAATGCTAAGTTTTCTCCCCCTTTCTTGTAGTTTTTCTCCTTTATTTATGTACTCTTTCTTTTTTGTGGGTTTTTGGTGAAGCATAATGTGGGATTGTTTGATTGTTCCGTAATTCTTTATGTTAGTAATTGTTCTCTTGGTTTTGTCATTTCATGACTCAGTAAGCATTTTTAGAAGGGTGCAGTTGGCATATAGATGCATCCGTAGCTGTAGACGTAAGGTGCACCTTCAAATTTTAT